GGCGGCCGCGATGGCGGTCGTGCTGGGCTCGCTGCTGGTGCTGCTGCTGTCGCTGGCGGCGGTGGAGGAGCAGTGCCAGGCCGTGCTCAAAGGGCTGGCCCTGCTGAAAAGCAAGCTGGGGGCCGGCTACGTGGGGATCACCAAGTACGCGGGACAGACGACCGGGCTCAGCGTCACCTCAGGCGCCTTGAAGCTGCTGGTGCTGAAACCCAAAGTTTCTCCCGGTAAGAAAGGGGCTTCTCCGCTGGCGGGACCGGGGAGGGCTGGGGGGCAAGGCCATCCTCGTCGCCCGGACACATCCGCCATCGAGGGCTCAAAGCACTGAACCCCAACACAGGCGGCGACGTCCCCTTAGGCTTACACAGGGGCTCACGCGGGTAATGTTTTGAGCCATACAAGCTCCATGCATCGGTGTGGCTTGTCTGTCCTGCACCTGTGGTCAGCGAAGCTGCGTTACAGGCAGACTATTTACACCCCAAGCTGCGCTGGTGCACGGGCTCGGGGGGGTTTGAAACCTGCGTGGGCTCAGGGCACCTGCTGCTTTCATTTTCTGGTGCGCACTTTTTGTCGGGCAGCTGAATTCAGTGGTGCTGGGAGACATTTGGAGAAGCCAGCAGGGTTCCTGCGCTGCATCACAGCTGCTGGGAGCAAATAAGGAAGGGATTCACTTGCAGCCTGCCTCTGGTGCAGAGCTGTATCTTCCGCTGCACCACGTTTGGCCATTACTGAAAGCTAGATGAGAACTGGTCCTCTGATCATACCAGCAGCCCCACGGCCTCCCACGGGTCACTTGGGAGGGCTGCTGTCCACGCACCTTGCCTCCTGAAACATCCACCTCTCTCTCGACTAAAGACAAACCCCTATTTGTATCGGTAGAAATGGCTTTTTCCAGTATTGCTGATTTAACCCCCTCCCAAATCCATACCAAAGCGTACTAGTAAAAGCACTGTTTTGTCGGCATAGCACACAAGGGCCTTTTCTCGGAGTCACAGATCACACCCCTGACTCAGCTAGGCCAGCAAAAGTTTGTAGTGGGGCCTGAGCTTAAACTTCTGGTATTTTGCAGGCCTAAAGAAAAATTAGAACGTGAGCTTTTTGCAGCACTCCTTTGTGGCTGTTTTATATCACATCAGTATTGATGAAAGGAAGAGGGATGCTCTCCCTGAGGGTTTTCTTTAGCAACGTTCACTCTATCTAAGCCCTGGTGTTGTTCCATTTCAGAAGTGAAGCTAGAAGCCAGAGCTGCTTTGAATCAAGCCCTTGAGATGAAACGGCAGGGGAAGCGCGAGAAAGCCCACAAGCTCTTTGCCTATGCCCTCAAGATGGATCCAGATTACGTGGATGCCCTGACCGAGTTTGGTATCTTTGCAGAAGAGGAGAAAGACATCCTTCAAGCAGACTACTTGTACTCCAAAGCGCTGACCATTTCCCCCTGTAATGAGAAGGCTCTGATCAACCGGGACCGGACACTGCCTCTGGTGGAAGAGATAGATCAGCGCTATTTTAGCATCATCGACAGCAAGGTCAAAAAAGTGATGGCCATCCCCAAAGGCAACTCAGCCCTGCGCCGTGTGATGGAAGAGTCCTACTACCACCACATTTACCACACGGTCGCCATCGAAGGCAACACGTTAACGCTCTCTGAGATACGGCACATCATTGAGACCAGATACGCCGTTCCTGGGAAGAGCCTTGTGGAGCAGAACGAAGTGATTGGCATGCACGCAGCCATGAAGTACGTCAATGCCACGCTGGTGTCCAGGATAGGCTCTGTCACCATCAGTGACATCCTGGAGATTCATCGGAGAGTGCTGGGATACGTGGACCCTGTGGAAGCAGGGAGGTTTAGGACTAGCCAGGTGTTTGTAGGCCACCATATCCCACCCCACCCTCAAGAGGTTGAAAAGCAGATTCAGGAGTTTGTCCAGTGGATCAACTCTGAAGATGCCATGAGCTTACACCCCGTTGAGTTTGCAGCCTTAGCCCACTACAAACTGGTATATATTCACCCGTTTGTGGATGGCAACGGTAGGACCTCACGCCTACTCATGAACCTCATACTCATGCAGGCGGGTTATCCTCCCATCACAATCCGCAAGGAGCAAAGGGCTGAGTATTATCATGCCTTAGAAGTAGCCAACGAAGGAGATGTGAGACCTTTCATCCGCTTCATTGCCAAATGTACTGAGACCACTTTAGACATGCTGCTTATTGCCACCACAGAATATTCGGTGGGTTTACCTGAAGCAGACGGCAGCACTGCTGGCTACAAACAAACTATTCCAGTCAAAACCTGAGTGTTACAGAGCCTGTCTGACTATGGCCAAAACTAGAGAATGTCTGGAATATTCAAAAGTCACTTTACTGTTCCCGTCAAGAAACAGCTCCGCAGGAAAAGCAGCAGTCACCTCTTCTAGCACTTCATTTATTTAAATTCTAGTAAATTAATCCCTATGTAAAACTAACTTATTTATTGTACCTGATGCCAAGCTCAAATGTGAATTGTCGCGTTTGAATGTGTGCTAGGACCAGCTTGTGCTTCTGGAAGGAGAAGGGGAGGACAGGCCAAAGCAAAGCCAGTGTGCCGACACTATTCAGTGAGTTGTAGTCAACTTAGCGGCCTTGCTTTCCAAAACCTCACAGCGTTCAGCTTCCCAAGGCTTAAATTAACACAAGGCCACTAATTGCCTAGATGACAAGATTTTTGGTTACATACCTTTGACAGGCCCAACTTTCCCCCACAGATGTCAAGAGAGTAAGGACTGAGCTGGTTTAAAAAGCAGCATCACTTCTGCGTGTTAGCTAATGTTATTCCTCCCGTCCAACGAATAGCCCTTCTGTCACAGTTGTAGCAGTAGCCTTATCTCCTCAGCAGAATTCGTTCAACTGCCTTTGCAGTTGAGGTGTACAATCTTCCCACTCCCCTGCCAGGTGCCTTTCTGCTGTCTTAGTTAACCAGCCAGTGCTAGAGGTAGCAGTTAAAATTAGTGAGGGTAACTTCTGTTTTTATACTTAGCAGCACTTCGTATAGTTTCAGTTTCTTTTGGCTGGGCAAGTTTCATACAGTGCCTGGAAAGAGGTTTTTTAGGTGGGTTTAAATAGAAAGTCTAATTTGGAGTTAACCGGACTGCAGGCTGCTCTTGCTCTACCTTGTGCCAAAGGACCATATTGTGCCACCTGCAGCAGTAGCAAAGCACACTCCCTTCAGCACAGAATTACCAGGAAAGGAAGGGCGCCTCTGTACAAACACTCACACCCCATGCCTGAAAGCAGCTTGCCTCTGCAGTCACAGGAGGAAAGGGTGGTTCTGCTCAGGATTCAGTTCCAACTCCACCCTTGCTGTAGGGGGAGAGAGAGTGTTTCTCTGTAGCAGGTGTCCCGAGGCTCTCTCCACTACCAGACTATGGTGTGTTATCATAACCAAATGGGCGCAAGCTCTTTCCAATGTTTAGATTTTGTTTCTGGTGCTGCAGTAAAGGTGGCTGAAAGCAGGAACAGACTGGGCCCTGATAGGATGCTCTAAGCGGAGCACTCAAAAGACTTGTGTAACATAGCTTCCTGGCACTTAGTCCCCAGTAACTTTTGACTAGTCTCATTAAAATTATGTAAATGCTTAAAGTGGCAAAAACCTAATGAAAAGTTTCAGGCAGCATCAAGACCTCTCTCATCCCTGCTCACACCTTAAAGCATGTGAAGCCTGTTTTTATGCTACAGTAGCTTTTTATAGCCTTCCTGCCCCCTACGCCAGCACCATTAAACTGACTAGCTTGCAAGTAAGATCTGTAAGAGATCCGCACGCTCCAACTTGGATGATATACAGCAGCTTCCCCAAGCCTGAGAATGCTATTAATGTTTTACACATCACTGACTGGCAGGGGCTCCATGCTCACCTGTCTGCTCCTAACGTCTCCACGAGCATAACTGCCCTGTAGCACTTCTGAGTTTTCCCCACCCCTGCCAAAGGACAATATCTCTCACTTGGGGCTGAAATTTAATAAATATTGCACTGGGGAGTAAGCTTTATGACCAAACTAAAGCAGAGACCCTGTCAAGATCTGAAGTTGCCTATGTTAATTCAAGCTGGTCCATGTTTGTGTATTATTATTTAACATACTTATTAAGGTTGACAGGGACAGCGAACAATGCAAGTTTTTAAAAGAAAAAGCATGCTTATTTTTGTAGCGCGAAAGAGACGAGAAATTCTGCACTTTAGTTATTTGTCAAAATGTTATTTTTAGTAACGATCTAATAAAATATTTTGTTATGTAAAGCTTCCTTTTGGAATCCAGCCTCAGATGCATGCTGCTTTTTCACATCACCACATGCCTGAAAGCACAATTACGGTGTTAGAAGAGCAACTGCATTTCGAATGTTGTGCTCTAGAGAGAGTCTACCCGACTCCAAGCATGTTCCGGCCACTGGCAGTGGCAGAGCATCTCTCTCCGCTCAGGCAGGTGTGGGATTCAAAGGTTTAGTTACAGCTGTGAGCCCTGCCAGTTTCTTAAACTGAGCTCTCGCTTCAGTTGTACTCCAACTCTGCTAGACTGCTTTTAGATCCAGCAGGTGCACCTACTTCTTTATGCTTCCAAGCAGTGGCAATATGGCTGCTTCTGGAGCACTGAATGCACCTCGGATGGGCCTGCAAGCTAAACCCCACTTAACACTGTTTTGCTTAGGGCTATTTCGCTATAATGCTCGTTTTACATGGATACCCGATTTCCCTTAGCGCTCAGCGAGTTTCATTATAATATAACGCTCACAGGCATCATACAGCTGGCAGCAGGTTTTGCTTAATACTATTCCACTTAGCGCTCAGTTTTTCATGAGCCAGTTAAGGGTGCTAAGTGGGGGTTATCTGTACTTGACATCTCTACTGGAGATGCTCTGAGGCTTGTGGATGCAACTCATTTTTTTCCCCAAAATAATTCAATAAGCAAATTGAAGAATACCAAAAAAATGCTATTTATTCACCACAGTGCTGGGAGCACAGGATGCTTTCCCCTTGACCCCACTCATAGATAAAGTAGTTCTCAAAGGTAGCATACCGCAGTACATGAGGATGACTTGCTCTCATTAAACTGCCTCACCAAACGGATCACTGAAGATGGGAAGGATACATACAGTCAGAGCGAGCTATTTAAACACAGGAGGGGCACGGTGTGGAGCCTTCTCACTTGAGGCAACGCATGCAGCTGTTATACCAAAAGTGCAAATCAGCCACCCGGGTTGAAACAGAAGTGACAGTATTTATAGAAAACATTTGAGAACTTTAGTTTAATAAACCAAGAAGAAACTTGAGCTTGCACTTCACATTGTGTACAAAACAGAATCCGAGGAGTTGAAACCGTACAGAAACCAACTGGCGATGGGGGAAGTTCTTCAGTAAACGAAACATAATATGATCCACGGCAGCAGAATATACAGCTTGGACATGAAACAGTTACCAGCTCTAGTCGTGTTTATGACACTTAAAAATAAGGGTCTGAATGTCATTTACAAATACACAATATAAAAACAGACCAGCTTGAGCAGAACATAAAACTGAATACGTTATATATATAACTCCCACCCCGGTACTAAAATAGGCCATTGTGGTGAAATTCCTAGCATTCTGCCATTTTCAGCTTTTTTACATGGAAAGAGATGGATGGGGTCAGGACTTCTGAAATAAGTTGATGTGTGGCAGGGGTGGGGGGGGAAAAAAAAAGCACTAGATGCTAAGGAGGCCACCTGCCATCACAAACTGAACCCGTGCCCAGTGGAGCTCTGCAGTCAAAGCTTTTGCTTAACAGCTCATTCTTAAAAAAGTAAAAAACACGCACCATAAAACTTGCGAGCGTACCCAGCCTGTAACGTGAGTATTTCCCCCCAAGTTACCCTCAATATGAGGGATCATTTAAAGCCATTTTACCAGAACACACAAAACTCTGCTTTCAGAATCAGGGGGAAAAAAAAAAAAAAAGACTGGAATTGTACCACCCTCGTGTCGGATCTTGGTGAACGAAGAGTCCAAAGTAGTATTTACATGGGATTGCGACTGGCTGTTTCTCTTGTTAGTCTAAGTAAGGACACAACATGGCTTCCAAAAAGGCATTTCACATTTTACCAGACTTGCTGACTGCAGACCTCTGCTCACTTTTTCAGCAGCATCCTGGCGAAGTCCGCGTTGGACATGCTTTTTGGCTCCTCGGGGGACACGGATGAAGTTGCTGGTGAATTCTGGACCATCCCATTCTCTGCCTTGGGCGGAGGGTTGCTCTGGCGCTGCAGTGCACGCGGCATCATGGACAGCTGAGTTCTTCCCTTACCCCTTCTATGGGGGGGAAAAAAAAAGGCATGTTCAAAATGGCACAGCTTTCGTGGGGGTGAGCTCTGCATGCACAGTCCAAGGAGGAGAAACAGCTTTGTTCACCTACATCCACTTCTTTTCTCACTCATTTCAGTCCCAAGCAGCACACTCACATTTTTGTTGCCTTTTGAAGCAAATTTTTTAATGCAGGTTCAAAGATAGCAGCCTGCCCACTTCAAACAGAGACCAAAGTCTCCTATTTTGTCACTACTACAAAGCAGCAGCAGCATCACCTCTGCCTGCCAGTGCCGCCCTCAACCCTAATCAGTGGAAGTTTCTGTAGAGAAGAAAGCGATCTGGGTCTTCCTACCTCTTCCAAACCCTAGCCAATTTGCCAGAAGTGCACAATAAAAAGGTAACCCAGAGCACTTCAGGCTCTCTGACATCCACTTCAGAGCACAAAACGACCAACAACCAGTAATTAAATTGCTACTGGGCTGGTTTTGAACTGGCAACCTAGAGGAGATTGTACCTACACCCCACCATCAACAATGAGAGCCAGCCACTCCATCGCTAACGAAGCTCTTTGTGCAACACCTTCCAGGCAGGCATGTTCTTAACAAACAGCCCAACTGCCCTCGCTAGGAAACCCAATGCCTTCTGTGTACCCCCAGGAATACTTACGCTCCATAGATCTGCCGTGGTACTGCCAGTTGCGAAGCTCTCTCTGCCTCAGGTTTGTCAGGCAGTCTCCGGCGAGGCGGGTTGCTGATTGCCACCTTGATGACATGGTCTTTAATGGTCAAGCCATCCATTTTCAAGACGGCCTGTGAGGCCTGCGCTTCATTTTCAAATTCCACGTAAGCTAGGCCCTAAAACAAGGCAAGGCCAGTTGGTTTCAGCATGCATCTGCTGCACAACCCTTGCACAGAACTCAGTCAACTGGGAGGAGAGCCATAGAAAAGCTGTAGACCTGCAACATGGCTGAGATGAAGTCCCATCCTTCATGTCAAAACTGATGGGGCACTCTAGAATTCAAAGCTCCCTGTCAGTTTGCAGGGCAAAGCTTTGCTAATTCACTCGCAAATATTGACTATTAGCGCTGTGCAAAGCTTCGGGTGATGATTCGATTCAGAGGAGATTCAGCCTGATTCAGTGGCCAAATCTCCTAATCAAATCGGGACCAATTTAAAGGTCCGAATTGATTAAAAGCCGTGACTCCCCAGGGTTTTTTTATTTGTTTTTTTTTCTTAAAGGGCCAGAGCTGGCCCGGGCAGGGCACCCATGAGGGGGCTGGGGGAGCGGGGAAGGAGGGATGTAGGGCTCGTGCAGCGCCCCCCGTGCAGCGTGGGACAGTGGGGATCACCCCCACCCAGCAGCACCTGCTGAGCCGGGGCTTAATTTTTTTCAAAGAACCGGGGGCTGGGGCAGGCAGGGCAGCCATTGCCGGGCTAGGAGAGCGGGCGGGGGATGGGCCTGGGCTGGCTGATTCGGCTGAATCAAATCTGGACAGTGATTCGAATCACTGAATCGAATCACTGTCCCCCGAATCAGCCGAATCGGAAAGGAATACTAGCTGCTTCACACTGGCCTACTGACCGTGTACTTTAAGAATTAGTAAACCATCAAGGCCACCGAATTACAAAAAAAGTCTTAGTAACGAGACCTTGTACGGTTTAATTTTAAAGCACAAACCAACCTTTTGGACTCAAATGAAGAGTTGGCCCTTTGTAGGGTCTTTTAAAATTCAGATTCATGGTGATGGTGCATTACTGGACACTTACCTTGGGTTTTCCAGCTCGGTTAGTGACCAACCTAATGTCCTTCACATTTCCGTGGGCTTTACACATCTCTTCCAGCTCCTCTTTAGTGCAGGAGAAAGGCAAGCCAGAGATGAACAATTTATGCTTCTCCAGAGCGGTGCTGTATCTGAACACCTACGTTAGAGGAAAAGGGACATGAGACACTCAGAACTCGTGTCTGACTCAAGTCAACCTCACAAGCCATTAAATATTGAAATGTGTCTGGAAACTTTCTTCCAGGCTCGAGTTGAAAAGAAAAATGGCCCCCAGTCCTGGTTGGAGCTGCTGGGTCCCACAGCCACACAATTAATAGGTATGCATTTCCCAGACAGAGCTGGTGACAGAAAG